GCATGCATGGCTTCTTAATGGGCTCGAAGGCGGGCACGGGTAAAGATTCACTAGAAACTCATTTGGACATACAAGAGATGAATGCCAGGGCTGAGCTGCATCCTGTACTCCAATCTGATGGGTCAAAGAAGCTTCCGACTGCATCATGGACCTTGGGTAAGGAGGAGAAAGTGAAGCTCATACGTTTCTTTCATCAACTCAAACTGCCTACTGGCTACAGCTCTAACATCAAGAGGCTGGTCAACATGGAAGATTTGAAATTCAACATGACTGCCATGTTATCGTGACTCAACTTCTGCCGGTTGCAATTAGGGGCTGTTCTCCCTGAGAAGGTACGGGGCCCGATCATAAAGCTATGCTCATTCTTCAACGCAATTTCACACAAGGTCATAGATTCAGACAGCTTGGACAAGCTGCAGAGAGACTTGGTCCACACTATTGGAGAGAAGCTTAACAAAGCCTCACACATCCAATTTTGTTGTAACTCGATAGTTATATGAGGTCTACCTTTGAGATTGGCAAAGTTTTCCCTTTTGGCCCCAACTAAAATTTGAGTTGGTTCGCCACTTGTTTGTTGTGTTTTTTTTCTAACCAACCAGGACTGTTGTCATTGCCGTGGTTGTTTTTTGTTAATTTCTCATGCTCTATTATTATATAAATCGGCAGTTTTCTACTACAACAAGCTTTGGGGAAATATCATGATAGACCCATGACCATTGTCATTGGCGTGGTAATTTTTTTTTTTAGTTTCTCTTGCTCTATTAGCAGAAAGATTGGCACTTTCTGCTATCACCCCTTTTTAGGGAAAATCATAATAGAAGGCTGCGACTGTTGCATATGCTAGGTTCAGCGCTACAATCTAAAAATAGTAAAATATAGATACAGACAAAGCTTTTGCATGTCAGGATTCAATCTTTGGTCAGTTATGTTGACCAAATGAACCGAAGAGTCAGACGAGATTATGTCTACTTATTTCAAAATAATTGTATTGTATGCGAGAGGAAACGAAATCTACTTGTTCCTAAAAGAAGTCTAATTGTTCCGATTGGACATTGGAATCTTCTTTACCTACATTGGAACTCAGTGACATTTTGGTGTCCTCCAATAACTGTTCATGGATCAGAGAAAAACAAAGTTTGAATAAGCTCTATCCATCTATTTTGGGACTCTTGTCAAATGATATCCAGGGCAGGCCTATGTTATATATAGCAGGGCTGTAAGCATGCAATTGTTGCTGCTAAGTCACCCGGGACTGTTTCAAGTGTGATTCCTTTGTTGTGTAACTACACGGCAGAATATGTTTACTTGTACCTGTTCAGAATGACAGCGCCAAATTAAACCCGTGTCATATCAGATCTCGTGCAGAGAATGAAGCACTGAACAGCACATACATAAATTATCGGCTCTGGCACTATACTTCATTTGAATTTGAATTGTATACACATGCCTGCCCTGACAGTATGTTTAAGAGTAAAGCAGGGTTACAAAAACAAGTAAACAGAGACTATCATCAACTGCAAAGTATAGGCCGGGAATGAAACTGTGCTGGACCTAAAGTGTGGTGGGTGCAGACCATTGGGCCACAAGTTGTGCCAAGGACAAACTGCACTGGACCTGGCGCTCGGACGGGCCTAAAGGGTGCAGACCATTGGCCACAATTTGGCCTAAGGACGCCTGCTTGTGTCTGAATCTTAGCCGGATACTAACATAGCATGACATGCAACGGAAGTTTTCCTTCAGTCACGTCAGGTGTCAATCACGTCAGATTAGCACCCAGGAAAACATGAGCTGAAATAACACTGTACATACAAAGAAGACTGTTAATCACGTCAGATTAGCTAGCACCCAGGAAAACATGATGAGCTGGCTGCATTGTGATCTCTGCTGGAGTTTGAATTCCACATCTCAGAACATGATCTGAGCATGCTCTTATGTGAGTTGAGATGCAACAAGTGATAGGGAACTTTATGAATCAGCGTGAGACTGTAGTAAAATAGCACAGTCCTCGGCATTGAGAACCGTCAGACTGCAGAGCTTGGGGGTAGGGGGAGGGGAGGTTGTGTGCAGCCATTTGAGCAGAGATCGAACAGACCCTAGATTCAGAATACTCGCTCCGTTCCAAAATAAACGCACATCTCGCACTTTGATGAGCCAAACACTTTCAAGTTTGACCAAATGTATACCAAAAACTATTAATCCTTAGATATCATTAGGTTAATCATGTCATATATTTTCATAAAAAACTCATTTACAGATACAAATAATGATACAATTTTCTATAAACTTAGTCAAACTTGAGATTTATTGACTCCTCGAAGTGCAAGATGAGCACTTATTTTGTGACGGAAGTAGTACATCGCATCAAGATCAAACCACATAAATCTTCAATGAACTCGTTATGCAATACGATTTGACTGAATGGAGCTCCACGCTTACATTTTCTGGAAAAGAAAAAGTCTAACTTCCTAATCATAAATCTAGCTAGTGGAACCAAAATTGTTCCACGTTTTCAAATCAATGAATTACAATTTGCCAATCAAACAATCAAGCAGGATGCAACAGCACAACAATGCGGCTTCAAATGATTTGGTGACACAAGAAAGCAGCACCATTCATCAGGCAACATTATCAGAAATACTGAAAGAAAAAATATGGCAGCCATAGCTCATCATCAGAGGCCTAGACATCCAGCAAAGGCAAAACAAAGCATTTCATTCAGGAACACAAGGCCGTTCTAAGTTCCACCCGTGTTAAGCTACTCTTCTGAAACCAGAAGTTTTGGACTGACTGTTTGACACACCAGATACTAAGTCACCCGTGTTAAGCTACTCTTCTGAAACCAGAAGTTTTGGACTGACTGTTTGACACACCAGATACTAAGTCTGAAACCTACATTTGTACAAGCAGATATGGGACAGTGCGTGGTTGTCCCACAGCTAGAGGCACTGCAAAAGAAATTGCTTATGGAGCTAACTAGATACCAGGGCAAAACTGCGCTTCAAAGAATGCTGCTTCTTTGCTTTTCCTTAGGCTGCACAACTCTGGAAGCTTGATTATTCCTTTGTAACGAACGAACTATTCCAGCTTTGTACCTGCAGCCACCGCAAAAATGGTACAATTAATGTCTCAGACGGAATGGCATGTCATTGTCCGAATGAAAAACCGAACATAGATGAAATATAGATTCATGAGGTTGTGCTTTCCGAGGGTAGTGATACTTACAGATTTAGCTGTTACCACTAGTCTAGTATGCACCCGCATTATTTGTAGCAGCAGTCAAACGCTCAGCATGAGCCCGTTTGCTGGATGATAAGAAATAATAATATATAAGCAATATATGCTGCTGTAGAGTTGGTAAATTAAGATATAACAAAGATATGTAAATTGCATAGGAAAGCAATGCCGGACAGAAATTGTGTTTTCAAGAAAAATAGATGCCAACATATCAGTACCATCATATATGAATATTACGATACAGAATTGTCACAATTCGTTACACTATTCTTAGGGACCGTTTGGATCCTTTCATTCTGGAGGAATTGGAATCTCCTTAATGGATTAGGCTATTTGGTTTGGATTTTGGAATTTGACATTCCACAACTATAATTTTCTCCCTTGTATGGCTATCTCAAATTCATAGGGTGGGAGATGGAATTTGATTCTATAATCACCATGCTATGTTTCTCCTCTACAACTATAATTTTCTCCCTTGTATGGCTAACAATAGTATTCAAATATATTCCATATACAACCATATTAGCTTATCTATACCTAAATTTTTAGAATGAATTCAATTCCAAGGATCCAAACAGGGCCTTAGTGAAATGTAAAACTGAAGCTATATCATCCAAATTTAGAGCACCTAGGCACAGAACAATAAATCCTAAGGTGAATCTGCTAGCACAATGCAGACAAGTTCGTAGTTTTCTCAAGGTAGCTAAACTAGTCTAAATTGCTAGTCAAATTGGAATGCTCTGCACATTGACATAATAACAGAGGTATTAGTTAAAAAACCTACAGAAAAGCAATTAAGAGAAGTCCAACAAAAAGCAAACATATTTGTGAAAGCTAATCATGGATCATCTACAATCAACATTACGTCATACATTCAAAATAAGCAATGATAACTGCAGAAACTTGATCCAGTCAATTGCAAGTAGCCAGGCAACCAAAATTTTCCATTTAACAGAGTAACAAACACATTACGCACAAAACAGCAAAAAAAATTATATTCAGGTGCAACCAAGCATATATATAATATAACAAATCAGCCAGAAAACTAGGTTATTCAGATAATGACATTCATCAACAGACTGAAATTGTAGTAGTTTCCCCCAAAAATTAGCTAGCATCCAGTTCTGCTCCTAAAAAGTGAGGTAACAGTACACCTAACAAAACACCAATATGAAAAGCAGCAAAAGGACAACATGTGAATGAAAATAAATAATGGGTCAAACAGGGGCCAACTTATCATTTGTTTACAACTTCCTAGAAAAGACAAATTACCAGGACTAAAAAGGATAAGATATGGACCAAGTCACACTTGCAGTTTCAGTGGACAGCAGTGTCTCCATATCAACATTACCTACCGAACATACATCCCAAACTAGCCAAACATACATCCCAAACTAGCAATCAGACCTGAAGTAATTGCATGATCCAGTTGACGCAATAAAGCTAGTTGTGCTGCAAGGAACCATTGTTGACATGGATATAATTTGCATTAACTGGACAATTTTTATCTATCAATCACATTATGCCCAGACCAGAGGACCAGGCCAGCAGAAAACAATCATTCTCAGAGTACTACATGAACAATCCAGCAAAACTTACGTATTCAGAATTTCAGCTATTCATCCAACATGGCAATATTTCAGAAGTTTGCAGTTGTGGAAGCAGGTATTGAGATATCAATCGGTCAAACATATTGCAGTTACCTATCAACACACAGATCTATTCCCAAAAAAAACAGAGGAGGGAGGAAGGAGGAAATCGGCGTTTTACCCGGAGCCAGAGACGGCTGCCAACGACCTGATGTAGGGGATGAAATCGGCGTAGTAGGCGCTGCCAGGGATGAACCTGATGGTGCGTGTGGTGCGGCCCTCGATGTCCATGGCCACCACCGTCTCGGAGCTGGGGTCCCACATGACGACCTCCGCCTTGCCCTGCGAGCGGAGCAGCTTGACGTCCTGGCGTCCCCTGAGGCAGCCGCCCTCGAAGTGCCCAGCCAGAGTCCACGAGATGGCGCCGAAGGTGGTGCGGCGCGCGAAGTCTAAGCGGACGACGACGACGGCGTTGACGCGGGCGTCCTTGCACGTGACGCAGAGCGTGCCCTCCATCTCGCCGAGCTCCCAGTAGGGCCACTGCATCACCTCGGCGGGCGCCGGGACGAGGTCCGAGCAGCGCGAGACGGGCTCGTAGCAGAGGAACGGGCCCATGGAGGTGCGCCAGAACGCGCAGCCGAGTACGCCGACCCCGGAGCCGGGCTCGACGGTCTCGGCGTCGGCGACATCGGCGCCCATGGTCCACGCCCACGCCCTGGACGAGAAGGACTCGAAGGCGTAGATGCCGTCCCCGATGGGGAACGCGACGACAACGTGGTAGTGGCGGTAGAACGGCTTGTACTCCAAGGCGTCGGTGCGCTCGGGGTCGGCGTCGCGGGGGTCGAGGTCGAAGGCGATGACGACGGCGGGGTCGCCGTGGGCGCGGTGGTCGCGGGCGGGGCGCGGGAGGCGCTCGTGCTCGAAGGTGGCCGGGTTGGCGACGTAGTAGGCGGCGGAGACGGCGCCGCGGAGGCAGACGAGGCCCCGCGTGGAGGCGAGCGCGGCCACCGGCTCGTGGGGGAAGAAGGCGGCGAAGGTGGGGTCCGGGACCAGCTGCTTGCCGACGTAGTGGTCGTGCGCGGGGGCGGGCGGGACCGGGTCGAAGGCGGCGTACGCCACGTCCCCGGCCAGCGTGTGGTGGAAGAGGCCCGAGAGCGGCTTGGGCAGCGGCGGGGATGGCGGTGGGGTCGCGTGCGTGTCCTCGGCGTCCGACAGCGCGTACATGCCCTCCGGGTCGTCGGGGTCGGCGGCGGCCGCGGCGTGGGCGAGGAGGAACTTGGTGGATCCGGTGGCGGCGTGGTCGGGCTCCGAGTCGGAGTTGGTGCCGGAGCCCGCGCGGGAGGAGGTGGCGGAGGAGTTGGGGGTGGTGCAGCCGGATGAGAGCGCGATGACGCGCCCGTCGTCGGAGGACGAGGAGGAGGAGGAGGAGGCGAGGACGACCCAGTCGTCGACGGAGTCCTGATCCGAGTCCATGGCGAGCGGGGGATGGGTCGCTGCTGCCTGGTGGTTAGGGTTCTCGGAGGGGGTGGAAGGGGGAGATCGGCCAATGCGCGGAGAATTTGTTGCTGTGACGGCGAAGGCGGCGACGGGTGGGTTTAAGTAGGGGGAAAGTGGCGGAGGCGTGCGGGGTGCGGATCTGCGCCGCGCGTGGTTGGGCCCCACTTGACCTCCGCAACAGCAACAGTCCCACCCGGCGGCCGCCGGGGCGCACGGGAGGAACCGAACGGACGAATGTTTCCGTGTGTGCGTGGGGCTGTGACGTCACCGTGGCCCGCATGTCAGCGGGGTTGGGGTGGGACGCGGTGCTGATCGTGGCGGCGTGCCCGCGGTGCGTGGGTGAAGGAAAATAAGAGTTTGTCGGTTCTATTTATTCTTTTACCGATTCTAATTGATTATTAGAAAGATCCTGCTATGCAGTGAATCGCCCAAATGATTGAGAAGGTACTGCTATACAATGAATCGGTCAGTTTATTAGTACAATGATTAAGAAGGTAGTACTATATAGTGAATTCCTTATCATGACCGCAAGATTTGTCCACATGTTTCAAGCTTTTTTGTGTCATGATGAGCTTGCTGCTTCCTCTGATCCTCTCACTATAACTCCATAAATTAATATATACTTTCTCCACCTCTGAATAAATGAACTTTTAAAGTTGTCTTAAATTAAACTTTCTTAAATTCGATCAATCTATAATCCATTTGTCCTAGAGTGCATCAACTTCTAGTGTTGTTGTATATGTTTGGTCAAATTCATAAAAAAGAGAACCAGTAATTACAATAGTGCCAAATTAGTAGCACGAGATACAATATAAAAAAATACATTTAAACAAATATATACTTATTTAGCGCCACAGATGCTGTCAACCTCTATGATAAAATTGAGACGGAGGGAATACAATAGATAGTTTTAGGAATTGATTTATTTTGAGACGGGGAGCATAAAAAAGTAGTTACATCTATGACAACACAAAAAAGCATAATATTATAAATGTTATGTGGTATTATATCAATTTTATATCCTAAAATTATTTTATTTTATAAAATTTGTTCAAATTGAAATTTTTTGCCTTAGAACGACAGCTCTAGAAATCGATTGATTTGGGATGATAATAGTTACCGCTTGAGCAGTGGTGTGCTTGCTGTGCCTGTCCACCAGCGTCGTTGACCGACCGAGCGGATGGAGTAGACGAGACGGGTCAACGGTCACGGGTCAAGCTGGACCCGCCCAGCTGGGGCGCGACACCGTACGTCGCCCTCGCGCTACGGGACAGTTGGGCTCGTGCTCGTCGCCTGTTTCCTTGAGCGCTACGTCCGTCCCGTTCGTTCCCATCCCAACGAATTGGATAAACACTCCTACGTGCGTGTCAAGTTATTTTTTAATATAATATATAACAATCTAATTAACCAGGACACGGTTGGTGATGCCAATTAAGCGCGTGGGGTCGTTGCGTCTCGGACGCGTCGTCGCTGTACTAGTAGAGAGCGCGCGCCCCTGCACGCGTTGGCAGATATTATTGTAGGGTAGATTTATGTACATAAATATATGAGTATCTAAGTACAAATTAGTGAGGGGCTGTGATCTTCAGTACCAACATTCTAAAAGAGCAGACTAAGGCTATCTTCAACAACACCACCTAAAATACAAGACGCATTTGTCCTTTAGGTAGCACTACAGTCAAAAGGTTCAATACATATTCGGCATCTTCTACAACAACAAGACCCAAAAGAGAATCATTTCTGCAAATGGGTTTCCAAAAGAGAGAATGCCTGTATTTGGGATATGCCTCTCAGGCAACCCAAATATGAATTTGTACATAGGCTTAATTTTGCAGGAGGTAAAGAGTAGCATATATATATATATATATATATATATATATATATATATATATATATATATATATATATATATATATATATATATATATATATATATATAGGGATATATTACATGCGGTGCTATTTTACAAAGCGGATATGATGACGTTGATCCTGAGTCTGTGGGGTTCTCACTGCATCTGTTAATAAGTGGCTTTGTTTTCTAGCCTTTCTTTCTGATCAGAAGGGCTACTGTTCATGGAGGATGTGCTGCCGTCTATTTGTTCCTGCAAAGAGAGCCGCTGTGCCTAGTTTTAGTAAGAATTAATAGGATTCTAAAAAGGTACATACATGTGTGGTGGAGAAAGAATGATCTGTGGTGTACAACTGTACATGAATAAGCAGTGAAATGCAGTTTCATGTAGCGCTAAAAATGAAGTCTGTACTGGTTTAGCTATAAACAATGTGCTGTGTAGCTTAAGTCTGAAAACAAGGTTTGATGGCAGTGTATGGTCTGTGGAGGGAACAGTATAAGTAATTTCAAATTCGAAATACATATAAGAGAAGTGTAAAGGCCTAAAGCACAAAATAGCATCCTGTTTGTTTTGGGTGTCCATAGTTCAATGATTTTGCCTATAGGAATGCAACGGATGAGGCATGAGAGTTACATTTTGGAAAGGAATGGGAAGTCAATAGCGGTAAAGTTCAGCTGTTTATATATATGTACTGTTTTTTTAAAAAAAGAACTGGACAATTCCTGAATTTCTTTTTTGTCAGGGAAATGAAATAGCTAAAGAACCAATGAATCATCAGCTTTGTTTATGTACATGATACTTTATGAACTGCAGCCGCAGCAAGCTGCAGCAATCAGAACCGATACTGGCACACAACAGGTAAGCTCATTGACACAACAAGAAGCAATTTTGTTAAGAACAGATTGAAAGCTTCTTTTTTTCAGTATAGCGCGTGTCTTTCAGATCTGATAGTGTGATCAAAACTATTATGCAGCACACACATGGAGCACGAAAAAAAACTCGGCAGCTCAGTGGTATAAGAGAACATTCCATGGTACTATCTAAAACACAACCATGTACCTAATTCCAAAAGAAAAAAGTCTATTTAATCCTCCACCTTTCATACTTGATCTACTTCACCCCCAACTATAAAACCATCTGTTTTACCCCCTGAACCTTCCAAAACCGTCAATTTTACCCCCCGAGCGGTTTTTGACAATGATTTTTCTGACGATAATGACAGAGTTACTTACAGATGTGATTGGGTTGCTTTCTGGTCTTGCGGTGGGTTTGAATTTCCTTTTTTATATTATTTCGGTGAATTTTTGAAAAATCATAAAATAGAAAATCTAATTTTATTGGACTCCACATGAGTAGATCTACACAGTGAATATATAATACGGTATGCTTTAGTACAATTTTTTTTTTGCTTTAGATTAATTGGAAAATCTAATTTTTTCTGTAATTAATTAGAATTTATCTATAACTAAGTTATACATAGTCCAATGAGTACGAAATTTTTACTATAGTTCAAGCATACAATAATTAGCGTACCATAAAAATTTCACCACAATTGGACCATAGAAGCTGCAGCTATGAATTATTCCAATTAATTACAGACAAAATTAGATTTTCCAATTAATCTAAGGCTACAGTAAAAATTTTGTATTAAAGCATACCGTATTATATATTCACTGTGTAGATCTACTCATGTGGAGTCCAATAAAATTAGATTTTTCATTTTATGATTTTTCTATGATTTACTATGATTTTTCAAAAATTCACCGGAAATAAATAAAAAAAAGAAAATTCAAACCCACCGGAACCATAGCAAACCCACAGTTACTGTAGCAACCCGATGTTACTGTAGCAAAACCGCTGTCAAAAACCGCCCGGGGGGTAAAATAGACGATTTTGAAAAGTTCAGGGGGTAAAACAGACGGTTTCATAGTTGAAGGGGTGAAGTAGACCAAGTATGAAAGGTGGGGGGGGTTAAGTAGACTTTTTCCAATTCCGAAAGGTCAAAACACCACAACTGTTGTACGGAGGCTGAACCAACAGTTGCTATCACTCTAAAGCGGCACTACAGTACTTGTATTTGCAACCTGAGATGCGAGTACTAAGACTTGCAGCACAGAAGTAAAGCGAAACTTCTTAGAAATTACCACTTACAGTTCAGAGCACAATTGTACCTGACTTATTAAAACTTTGGGGATTCCTTTGAGCTTCGGGTAATCTTGTCTTTGACATTTTTAGTTCTTCTTTGACTGAACCAAGTAGCAAAAGCGCTTTCATGAAACCTATGATGTAATCTGACTCAAATGATCTCAAACCATACAGGTTACCAATAGATACAAGCATAAGAAAGAAGGAACCTACTGAAAATGCCTAGCAAATATTTTTGGCGATTTGCAGAACCTCCTATCATTGTCTGCCTTCTCCAAGATTATTGAAACAGTCAATGTTAGAACTGACATGTATATGTGGGCTTATACCACACAGGAAGAGAAGAGGCCAATGTAGGAACATGTTCCTGTGAACAGTGGGAAAATAAGAAAGGACAAAAATGTGTCATATCATCGTCACTTCTTTGAACAAGAACAGCCGATATCATATATGCGATATCTGTTATTGAGAGCTGACTATGGACCTGCATTTCTAGCAACCAATCAGATATTTAAAGGAAACAAATGAACATAAGAAAATGAGAGAAACCATATAACCAATATTCTGCATTGAAACAGCCGATAACTCGTACTACTTGAAACATGTAATATAATAATGTAATATGGACATAATATATTACAGGGGACATCTCATATTTACATGTAAACATGGCAAATACATATTCTTTAGCGACAACATGTATGAGGTGGCAAGGTTAAATAAAAGTTCATAGATAGCACGACAAGCATGGTAAAGGCATATTCAGCAAGTAAACAACTGAGGAACTTATAACTGCAATTGTTAACTATGCACCTTCTGTAATGCAAAAACAGATAATATATGTACCTCCCTTCAATTGTTTGATGCACTGATGCTCCTTGATTATCATTTGCAACTCGTCAATCAATGTTGAAGATAGGCACTGTCAAGCAACAGCATAACTAACCACCAAGAGGTGTGATAGGAAGAAGACTGAAA